CAGTATTGCATGAGTTATTATACTATAGTTGTACCAGTATAGTACAACTATATCATCATCATCATCATCATCATATTTATTTCGGTCATTGACCAATAAAAATAGATACAATAAAACAGACAACAATATTACCCCTTTCATCAATAGTACAACTATAGATATTCTTTCATTACATTATTTTACGCAAATGCAGTTAATTCTACAAATTTCTATTATGGTCCTATTTTATGCTATATTATAATATGCAAACATCTAATCCTAAGACTATATTACAAGTTATTAAATTATATTACCTTACATTATTTATCTTAAAGTGTTTCCCCTTTTTCTACCAGAACTTTTCAGCCTTCTCAGGCATCCCTTATTTTTGTAAAAAACAAGGGGATATTTTGCACCCTTCTTCTTCCCTGCAACTGCTCTGCTTTTACAAATATTTAAGCTTCGGGATTTTTCAAAGGTGTTAATGGAAAAACCCTCCCAAATAATTCCGGCACTCAATTCTTCTGGTTGAAGAAAAGGCAGGCGAAGCCGGCTGGTTTGCACTTCTTTTCTTCAATCAGTCAAATGTCGATTGCTTCAGATCCAGGGATATTGTAAAGAATTTTGTTTTTAATTAGAGCCATCTAAAATGTGGTTTTTAACTGTGGTTTTGCATTTCTTGTTACTAGAAATGGCTAGAAATATTATATTTTCAGCTCTCTGAGCTGGCATCCATAGAAAGACACAAAAACATATTTTATTAGCTGAAGAATCCAACATTTCAGACACTAGTCAGGAGGTTAAGCAAAAACTCGGGGGGGGGGGGGTGGATAGGGGAAAAAAAAGCAAGAACGAGTCCTTTATATTTAGAGCAAGTGCAGACCAGGCCAGATTCACAGGACAAGGAAATCTGAGCGGGAGCAAATTGATGCCGTGTCGGTTCGAATCCTGCTGTTAGATTTTTGGAAAGCATTTCTCTTATTCTAGAAACCATTGCTCTTCCGGCCCTAAATACATCTAGGATAGGTTTAATGTTTAACCCTGGGCGATCCCTAACCCCGTATTCAACGTTTTTCTGCCTCTCCCCGCTGGAGGATCGGGTTCCCGACCCGTCGGGGAGAAGACCATTTGCCCGATAGCCGCGGTGGCGGGGAGGGGGGGACGACGACCCTGCAGAGCTCGGACGCCTGGGGGGCTTGGATTCCTTCCGCCTGAAAGGTGAGAGAGATCAGTCAATAGATTCAACAGATTCTCACCAGGTCAGGAGAAAAGGCTCGCACATTTGCCTTCCTCGCCTTTTCTTTCACCCGAGGCCCTTGAGTCTATTCCAGGAAGTTGATGCTGTAAGGAAAACATGGATTTTAAGGTGGCTGAGAATCTCTCGTCTTCCTCCCCACACCAAAGCCAGCGGGTGGGAATTATCCTTCTTTCTCCAGCCTCAGTTTTGCTCCAGGCCGCCCAGAGGGCCCTTTCCTGCGCCCCGAAAAGGGGTTTCATTTTGAAAGCTTCGTTGGGGTGCGCTGCAGACGGGAGCGGGCTCTGGAGTCCGGGCTCTGGAGGGTCTGCAGGAGCGCGGGAGGAGCGGGTCGTCTCGCATTTTTTTCTCCCTGGCCTGGAGCACCCCATCCACACACACACACACACCCCGCTACATACACGGCTGAAGGGGGATTGTCGCCCCAGGAGGCGGCCGCTCGCAGGGCCGCGGAGGCTCCGGCGGGCCGGGGAGAGTGGCAGGTGCCCCCCCCCCCTCCGACGCCCCCCCCCTGCGCGGCCGCTCCCTGTCCCCCCCCC